AAAATATTTAGTGTTCCGATCACCTTGTTTTAACCAAAACACTTTTGCTCTTTGCTTCCAATACTGCTCCTTTTGGCATAATAAATTGAAAAGTCGCTTTTGAGCTCTTCTGAAAGTAATACGGCTTTGGTGGTCCCTACAACCTCTTGCTCTGTTCATGTGAGCTCTCATGAGTTTAATTTCTACAGAAAAACTATCACGCCATTCATCCCCCCACGCCTTCAATCGTTCTGAACACAGCCTTACTTTTTCTTCAAGGCACTAGGACTAAAAGAAATTCCAGCTATCCATCATCAAAAATCAGCAGGCCGGGTCTTTACCCCAGGAGTTCTCATAGAAAAAACGATGAGCTTGATGCTTTGGGATCCACACCTTTAGTTGCACACAGATGTGTAGATGATCTGATGAAGAGAAGTCATATGTGGTAGCTCTTTCCAAAGGAAACTTCTGCCTCCATGAAGCCGAAATTAGGAAACGGTCCAGCTTTTCCTCCATGACTGTTTGTGTTAGCAGTTCAGAATGATTGTTTTGCTTATGTGATGTGGAATTCGAGAATAAAAAATATAAACGAGAAAAAAAACACGACAACAGATTTAACGTGGTTCACCAACGTTGTGTTGGCTAGTCCACGGGGAAGAGGGGGAGCAGTTTTATTTCGGATGGAGAGGCAAAAACAGAATACAACATAGGGTTTGTAGTAGCACCCATATAAATAGTGTTTGGCTAAAACCCTAACAGACTTGGGCCCCAAACTACAGAATTAACAGATAATTAGAAGCCCAATTAGAAAAGGATTTGGTCATCTCAGGATTTGGATCTCTCGAGATTCGGATTTCTCGACTTCTCCGGAATTCGGATTTCTCGAAAGTCGAACTTCTCCGGATCCGGAGCTGTAACGGGTCAGATTCAAGGCATTACAACAAATCTCCACCTTGACTTGAATTCTCCATACAGATTCTTCAGACGCACTATGGTTGTGCCAGGCCTCCCCCTCTTCCTCAGAATTGCCCCGCAGGGCAACTAACAGCTTCTGATGTTAAGCAAGTCCAAAGAGTGTTGAAACTTGCTTTTTGAACTGGCTTTGTGAACATACCAACAGTGTAACGCCCCGAAACCTGGCCCAAAAGAATTAATTATATTGTTAGAGCAATTGATTACGAATTGGGCCCAATAAGAGGTTAAAATTATAATTTGGATTTTAAGCCCAACTTTTATGTCATCTCGTAGGAAATATTTTTATGACCGCGTCGGTTCAGACGGCTCGCGAATCGGAGTTACAGAGCTCTAGTTATGATCATTTAATCAGGTATTTTGGGTTCGAATCCCATTCCAATCCTTTTTGGAATGGGACCATGAAGGAGTTGAAGGCTCAGTTGCAAGAGCTACTGGAAAAGGGATTCATCCGACATAGCGTTTCCCCATGGGGAGCACCGGTGTTATTTGTTCGGAAGAAAGATGGATCCATGAGACTTTGCATCGACTACAGACAGTTGAACAAAGCCACAGTGAAGAATCGTTATCCATTGCCTCGCATCGACGACCTGTTCGACCAGCTCAGAGGAGCTACAGTATTCTCGAAGATCGATCTGCGTTCTGGATACCATCAGATTTCCGTTAAGAGAGAAGACATTCCGAAGACTGCTTTTAGAACACGCTATGGGCATTATGAGTTCTCAGTCATGCCTTTCGGATTGACTAATGCCCCGGCAGTGTTCATGGAGCTTATGAACAGTGTGTTCCGACCATACTTGGACCAGTTCG